TAAATGGAGCAAGTTTTGCAATTTATTATTCCAGGACCATGGGGCAAAGTAAGAGAAGGATTTCTTCCCCAGCTCAGTAAAAACCATTGGAACCTGTTAAGAGCGCCACCTGGTGGAACGGAGATGAAAATGGCTGGAATTTAGCTTGAGGAGATTACATAAATATGCCGGCAGTTTACCCAACATGGCCTTGTATAGAAAAATATACAAATGAAGTTGTCTACGTAGACACTAGACTAGAAAAAAAAACCTTCTATTGGCAGATTAAATATGCTTAAATTAAGGGTAAATACACTTAATCTAAAATTTTTTTACTTATTTCTAGATCACTTTTGCAGCTGCATAGATGTTCATCCTGATGGCTGCTGCTTTAGTTATAAAATGTGTTATTAAGAGGCTTGAATAGGGATAATGTTGCAGAACTAGGCTCTAGTGATGGATGTTTTTTTTTTTAGATATGGGCATAGTTGATTGTTTGATACCTGCACATAACTGTTTGTGTCTCTGCTCTGCCAGCATTAAGGCTGATTGCTGCCGCTGACCTGCTTTCAGAGTGAGTTTCCTGGTCAGTAGAGCCCAACTTAAAGGTGGTAAAATTAAAAACACTCAGAGAATCTTCAAGCTTTAGCTGGCTGTCCAATAGAGCGCTAGCTTTCCAGACTCAAACGTCTTTTATTATACATAATCTCCAGACGTGTTCTGTGGGGAAACTTGGATAGTCAGAACATCGGCTCCAAAACTGCCTCTTCTCTCCTTCCTACGGCTCGAGTCACACCATGAATGGGCTCCAAAGCAGAGTCAATGTGATTTAGACTCTTCAGTGTCCTTTCAGCTTCATCCTCCACTAAACCATATGTTTTAAAAGTTTCATGGTTATGATGTATTGCTGGTATTTCCAATGTACACAGTTGCTACTGCTAGCATTGACAAACCTCGTTACGTCACCGTCTGAGGTACCGCAACAAGGCGGCACCCTTACCAAAAAATGATAAAACAAAGCTTTTTTTCTTTAAGATTTTTCACATTTGAAATGTAATTATTGATAATAGTAAGACAAATATTCGTGAATTAAATTAGTTTGGTTGAACGTTTCATTTCCACTTTAAGCACATTTACAGTCTTCTGGCAGTTTGTTCCAGATAAATGGAGCATAAGATAGTTATCGGGCTCCTCTCCTGTGGAACCAACTACCAGTTTTAGTCCGTGAGGCAGACACCCTGTCTACTTTTAAGGCTAGGCTTAATTTAACTTTCCTTTTTGATAAACCTTGAGTGGCTCAGATTATCCTGAGCTATCTCTATAGTTCTGCTGCTATAGGCTTAGACTGCTGGAGGACATAGGG